GAACTACTCAACACACCCTTGAAAAATTGACAACACAGATCAGATATAAATGTTTGTCCGTGCGCCACGGGTCGATGTCGCCCGCATGCTCCGGTGCCGCTGCTCCGTCCGGCGCCGCTGTAGTCAGCCCGAGCATAACGCCACTCGACCTGCTCCGTCCGTACACGCTCTCGTTGCTGTCCTTCCCAGTCGGTTCCTCGCTTTCTCCCTCGTTGCACTCAAGGTTCTTGGTCTGAAAAATAAAAATTCTCGCGCCGAAGGGGTCAACCAGCCCAGTTCAGCTCGTCGCCACCTGCTCCCTCCTCCTTTGATGGCGAAGCCAGGTTACTGAGGCAATGCAGCGCCCTCTAACAAACCTAGGGCCGTGTACATAGTTCCCGTCCACCTTCTGACGGTGTCTGCCTCCGCGCACAAAAAATGAGATGGGCATCGCTGCCTACGCCGACGGCCAGAGGCCCGCGCATCTACATTCATTTTTTCGCCTGACCCCATCAGTGCCGACCCAACTACACCACCACGCGCATGCCTCGCGGCGGATATGCGCAGCAGCAAGAAGGTCTCGGTCATCCCTTGAGGGTGAGTCTAGCCCTGCTCGCCAGAAAGACCCCCCCCTTCACTACAACCCATGTCTAAGCAAAAGCTCGTCGAGGAGCGAGGGGAAGAAGGGAGTAATGACGACGCCGAAAACAAAAAACCAGTGCTGTAATCGAAACGTCGGCGAAAACAGTACCACGCTGATATCGCGCGCGAGAGAGAGGTGCTACTCAGAACGAGTAGCCGATAGGACAGGGATGCCCTGCCACCATTGATCCTAGCACCTCTCGTGTTGATTCCGTGATTTTCATTTATTTACGTGTTCGTTTTTTTTACCACGAACCGAGTCAAGCTTGATTGTACCAACACAGCAGCGCTGCTATTCTATCCACTCCCGCTCGAATGGACGAAAACAGTCACGCCTGCTGCTGGCTCCGGGATGGGGTTCAGTCGTGTCAAGCACCGCGCCCAATGAGCGAACCGCTCGCACGGCTCGCTCGCCGCAGCGCAGTACGATCGTATCACACGACGAGCGCATGCGCATCATCTACAGAAGGAAGCCTGCACGCTTCTAGCCCAGTGACGAAAACGTAAGCAATGGAAGGAGGTAAGGACATGCACCGTTGGCAAGCACCAAACGACGTCAGTCGTAACCGCCCCCGCCCCCCCCCCCCCCCCCCCCCCCCCCCCCCCCCCCCCCCC